GCTTCCACTTTTTCTTTTTTTTTTTACACGGTCAATTATTTATTGTTGCCGCGATTAACTTTGAATATTACATTGAAAGAAGTGTGTTATGAGAAGAGATATTGAATGAATGTTTATGTGGAGTCAAAGGGAAAAGGGGTTTTATGATTCATAATTAGCAAAATTAATAATACAGTCTGTACGAGTAAGTGTAGTGTAGCCAAGAAACTGGCATGAGAAAGACAGAGACAAGTTTTGGTTTCAAAATCAAATTTCGAAGGGAAATTTGGGTTAGCTCTTAGCTGTCTTTCTGAATCAGGGAAATTATATTATACTAGTAGAAATAAGGCAGCGGATGCTTCCATAAAAATATTAAATAAATCAGTATTTAAAAAATAGAAAGTGAATAATTATTTTTAAAGAGAGAGTTATTTTTTTATATGTATTTTTGCTATTTTATTCTTATATATAAATTAATAAAAAATAAAATAAAATGTAACATAAAAATATAATTATTTTAAAAATAGATATCCTTTTTATATATTAATATATTGTTATAGATGTATGTTGTGCTGTGTCCCAAATATTACATGCTAACGCTATCCTATTTATAAAAAAGTTACATAATTAAAATGGAGATTGGATGGATGGAAAGAAAATAAAATTAAAAATAAAAATAGAAGGAAAACAAAGTTAAATTTTTGTTTTCAAAAGTCAAACTTTCTCTTTATTTTCTTCTCTTCTAATAAATAAAAGAATATTGTATCCTGTTTTTCTTTTCTCTTACTTTCATATCTTCTAAACGTAACTTAATTAAATAAAAATTGGCTTTGGACAAGTTTATTTTTATAAACTTTGAGAATTGCTGCAGTTATCTATTAATAAAAGTCAAACTTGCTTGATGATAATTAGATGAGAACAATAAATCCATTTATGGTCTGAATCGACATGTACAGCATACGCCATTAATTTTCATTTGACTTTTCCAATAGTATCTTAGAATCATATATATATATATATACGCATCGTGTATCAGATATACCCGTACTCGTACTTGTAAAAACATATTATTATTTTTTTTTGCAAAAAAATATACAATATTTTAAAATTATTTTTCTATTATATTACAATTATAATTAGGTTGTTTCTCTATCTTTGAAGAGAATCACCTTTTAAGTATGATTAAACTACCATCTTAATAATTGATCTTATTGGTGGACCAAAATTAATATGGATTTTTTAATCTTGACTTAGGTTGAGTTTATTATTAGGAAAAACTCAAGTCCTACATCGACTAGGGATTAGGCAATTAAATAATATATAAGTGGAAAACAACCCTCACCTTACAAGCCACCAACATAATATCGTATGTCGTTCCATCACTTTAATGCCCCCACTTAGGTAACAAGCTAGCGCTACTTAGCTCTGATACCATCTTAGAATAATAGATTTAAGCCTAACTCAATCCTACAAAACCAGCTTGTAAGGTGAGGGTTGCTTTCCACTTATATACTATTCAATTGACTAATCTCTAGTTGATGTGGGACTTGAGTTTTTCCCAATAAGTTTAAAATAACTCTTGTGGTCTAAAGATGATTCTTTATATTGTGTTTAGAAAAGGAAAAAGAATTAGACAAAAAAGAAAGAAAGGAAAGAATATAATAGAAGAGGAGAGAAGTAATTAAAAAATAAAATGAAAATTAAGTTGTTTAGTATAATAGCAATAGAGGGAAATTTTATTTTTTAAATTTTATTTTTTCACATAAAAGAATTATAGTAATTAAATATTATAAATGCATTTTCTATTTTACCCCTAAAGAATACCCATGACTCAATCAAATATGCCATAATTTTATAATCAAATATGTTGGCATTTGAATAACAATACAAACAAAATGTGATTAATAGGTATTCCATGCAACAATTACAATATTGTTCAAATAAAGGATAATTCGTAAATAATTAATATTAATTAGGTAACCAATGTGATTTAAGCTATTAATAGGGAGATTTATAAGAATTAATAGGTAGCAAAAGCAATATATGCAACTAAGGCAACAAGTGTTGTATATGAGGGATAAAACTCTAATATTTCTATCATGAGTGTTGTGTATGAGCATGTCGCATAAAAGGGTGTTTTGATCCTTTTTATATTTTAAGTCATAAGTTTCTTGCACTTCTTATATTAGAGGAAAAGTTTTGTCACATGAAATTCACACATATTTGAATACAATTCTCTTCATTTTCTCTTCTCAAACACGCTTAATATTCTAACTTTTCATCACTTTTCCACTATTTCATTTCCTTTTCATCAACTTCTCATTTTCCAAACAAAGTGTTACTTAGATAACATATGGTTGTTATATCATATTAATGTATGTTAAGCAATGACCTAGTGATCTCGAGAGTAAAGAATCACCTCTTAAGTATGATTAAACTATCATCACAATGATTGATCTTGATTAGCGGATCAAAATTGATTTGGATTTCTCAATCTTGACCTAAGTTAAAATTAAAATAATTCTTGTAGTTTAGAGATGATTCTTTATTAGAGATGGCAACGAGGTGGGTCCGGTATGGGTTTCATGATACTCATCCCCGTTCCAATGACTCAAACTCATTCCTATCCCCGTACTCGTCGGGTATATAATTTTCGTTCTCATCTCCGTCTCCATCGTGTATCAGATATACCCGTACTCGTACTTGTAAAAACATATTATTATTTTTTTTTGCAAAAAAATATACAATATTTTAAAATTATTTTTCTATTATATTACAATTATAATTAGGTTGTTTCTCTATCTCATATTTTAATCAAGAGACTTTTTAATAATTAAACAACTATAAATATTTCACATTATAATAAAAATAATCACACATAATAAAATATTAAAATTCTTTAACACAATTAAATTGGAGATGAATATTAAACTGGGGATGGGGACGGGGACAGAGACGGGTACAGGATGAATTAATAAAATAAAATATTAAATAATTTTTAAAATTTTAAAACAAAGAATAAGTTTCTTTAGAATTATTCAACTTAATAACTCATATTTTACATCATAAAAATATTTTATACATTAATTTAAATTTATATTAATAAAGTATCGTATGATTTTTAAATTTTTTAAAAGTTTATAAACCTAACCTATAAATTAAGAACTTTTAATTTAATGATTTGATCGTTGAAATTTGATTTAAAATATAGAATATTAAGTATTTAGAAAGATTTACTCTTAGAGTAAGTAAATTTCTCCTCATATATATATATATTAAAAAAATTTAATTTAATAATTAGATTATTGAAATTTTATGTAAAATATAAGTTATTGAATAAAATAAGTTTACCAAAACTTACTTTTGGAGTAAGCAGATTCCAAAATATTCTATATTAATATTTATATAATTTTTTAAAAAGATTTTATAGCTTAAAAATCACTTGTTACATTCTAAATATAGTTATTTTTTCTAAATAATGAGATAAGAAAAAGAAAAAAAAAAGGTTAAGTGTAATATATTATTAATATCCTTTTAATCCTTTATTAATTTTCTAAATATTGATTCACATGCTTTAAATAAAAGGATGATGGAAATCAACAAATTGATATGATATTTGTGAACCCACTATCCCTTGATTTTTCACATTTCTATATGGAAATAAAGTGACAAATTATTTAGATACATTTCATGTAACATTCTCTATCAAAATAGAGGAAGGGGGGAAAAATGAGAGAAATGTTAAATTAAATGACAATCGTCCATCATCTCAAGATGTTGTAAGTTGGTAAATCTCTCACGCTAGAGATATCGTCAAGCGCAAGCTCATTCTCTAACTGCGCTCTTGTGGACTTCAAAACATCCTAATGAAAAAATCATAGATCTGTCAAGAAAAAATCACAAATAATAAAAATAATTAAGCAATGAACAAATACAATTTAATGATATATGTTACATTGAATTCCATATATGTTGCACGCTTTGATAGCCATTGAGCATCCATCATTTGAAAGGCAATACAAAAAAGGATATCAAATGCCATTTCATCCTCCTCAAGCAACTTAAGAAAACAAACTCCTGACGAAGAAGATGGAAGCCCTATAATTCAAATCCTGAATGTTTGATAGAATATGCAGGTGTGCGAAAGATGGTTATTAGAATTTCATTGTGGCAAAATGAAGAAGTCGTATACAACTATCTAATCTAATGAACATATATATATATTGCCCATAGATTCTTAATTAAGAGTGGAATTTCAATTTTATTCCAGGATCGAGGAATAAATCACAAAACAATATCTAAGAACACAAACTAATTTTCACCTGCTGCTTACAGTTTGCATAAATAGCTCATTATATGGGCAGCAGCTCTTGCATGGACAAAATAAAGATGCATGATTAAGAATATTAAGATTAATAGGAAGCAATGTACGCAGTTAACTCTTGATTAATTCATATTATATAAATTAATTTGTTCGGAAAAAAAATGTACTTAATCAGTTTGATGATCTTTTCACCTCGAAAAAATTTAGCTTGTTACTTAATCAGTTTGAAAATTTGGTTTCATGTTAAGTCATCATCCATAAAAACAAATTGAAATATAAGCCAATTAAGGTAATTTATGGACATTGAAAATCAATTTTACAAAATCAAATTTCATGATATATTTTGCCAAAATCACCCAAACACACACCAAGGAACATATATATAATAATCAGTGCATAAAAAAATCATATTATAAGTTATAATTAGCAAGTGTTCACATATATTGTTTTACTAACCAGAGGAAGAAAGAAGATCAGAATCAGATCCAGGCCTGGGAATATTGAGAACATATATCGATCATTCCTCCCATAGCCAGTGCCTGTAAATATTTGAAGAACAACATACACTACTATATTGTCTAGAGGTAGGTAGTCAAAATTAAGAAATTAATATATATTAGCAACTACTCTAGATCCTTAATCTAGGTGACTTTGCTTTACGTGCATTAGCAATAAGAGCATCACGAGCCGTGACAATCATGCTATGAGGAGGAGCAAAGAATGCATCAAACATAGTAATGTCCATCCAATCCTTCAACATTTGTTCTTGACCCCACTTTTCTGGTATCTTAACCTTCTCCATCATCACCTCTTCCCGAAGCCTCTTCAGCCTCTCACGCCCCGTTTCCTCTACACGTGCCTCATGCCCTTCTTCTTTATCCTTGCCCTTATCATCATTCTCTTTAGTGTTCAGAGACTTGCATTCTTGAGTCTTATTCTTGAGCTTCTCTTTTGATTCAAGGAAAAACAATGATGACGAAGGATCACTACTTTGGGAACAATGGGAAGTGAGTTTTGTTGAACTCCTTATCATAGGCATGTCGTGGGACAATTTTTTGTTTCCTTCCATTGGCAAAGTGATTGTTGTTGTTGTTGTTGTAGCTATGGAGAAGCTTAGCTATAAGCAGGGTTTATGCAAGGAGAATAATATATAGCATTGAGTGGTGTTTTAGGGTACACGTCGCATACGTGTTTTTGTATGGCATGTGGCGGTTCTACGTAAGTTAGTGGTCTTCGAGAAATAGATTGTGTGGTTTTGTCGTAACGTACGTAGCTAGGAAATAAAAGAAGGAAAAGATTTTAGTTTAAGTTTGATTGAGAGGTTGGATTTAGGGTTTTTGTGAGGTGGACATGGATCGAGGAAAGTGTGAAGATTTTTGGTGCTTTAATTTCAATTGTCGTAGTTTTTATTGGAATTGATTTGATGAAGAGAGATGTGGACATGGATGAGAGGAGGCCAACTACCAAGATATTTTAGGTTTTTACAAGGGGTTGGCAAAAAGTCATCCTCAAAATATTACACCATGTACCATGTAAGTTAATTGCGTGGATTTGGATCTTGTTTAAATTGTATTCTTGTTTTTGCATGTCTGGAAGATGCACCCAGATTATGGATGTCCATTTCCACATTTGTCACATATGATTATAGGGTTGCCCCATCCCACTTTTTCTACCCACTTTCTAATTTCTCATTTTTGGAATCAAATGAACTATATTCTTTATTCTTTTAATTAAAAAAAATGCACTTCAACTAAAACCAATAACAAGAGAATATATTATTATTATTTAATTTTTTTTATACTAAATATGTGTTCTTTAATTATAGAAACAAAAAAAAAATGCAAAGGGGAACAGTTCATCTCGTTCAATCCCCTACATATCTTTACCCTTTTCTATTATATATTGCCATTTTTCTTGTATATGCCCACTATTTATTTATTTTTCTTTGATTTTCACTATTTATTATTTAAAGCTATTATTTTAAATGCCACTAGATTTCAATCGAGACGCAACACATGTATGTGTTCTTTATATGAAAAAGATTAATTATTTATTAAATATATAAAATTTTCTATAAGTTAAAATTAGTTTATACACTTAAACTAATTTATAAAAGATTTTTCATATTAGTTTACCAAAAAAATCATGTTTAATTTATGTATGAATTAGTTTTATCTTATAAAAAAACTTACTTCAAATTGTGCACATCACACACATGTATATATATAAAAGCATGTACTTGCAAAAATAGGTTGAGCTTATTAAATTATGAGTTTGAATTCGATATAAACCACCTCTAAGGAGAGGCATACATTAGCTAGAATTAGACTTAATTAAACCCAAAAAATATAAATAAATAACATAAAAACTTCTCGGTATATAAGTTTTTTTCTAGGCAAAAAGAATTTATTAAAACGGATGGAACACTTAGTACAAAATGTACTTAGGGCACTAAGCCAGCACAAACATGCATAATGCAGCAAAGTATAAAAACTATATATGAAAATACATATAAAAGAGACTAGCTAACAGATATATCACGACGACCACACAGAACAAGACTAACTGTATGAACATGATTGTTGTCTGTAAAACTAGTGAAAGGAATTAAATTCATAAACCCTCTTTGATTTTTAAGACATTTTCGAGATGTGTGTTTAAATAACTAATTAAATTCATGTATGTTTAAATAAATAATTAAATTTATAATTGAAGGAATTGATGTAAATATTGTTGTTGTGGAGCGTTGCTTACTTGCTTTGGGAACTTGGTCATGCACCTCGACATCAAACCACGATAGTTGGCAGTGGTGGATTTAGGAAGTGTAGACAATTTATTTTAGAAAAATAAAAAATTAATGATAATCATTATTGTGAAAAGAAAAGAAATGAAATGTAATAAGGTGAATGAAATGTGTAATTAAATAAAATGTAAAGTACACGTAGAGCTAAAAATGAAACAAAAAGTAACATATATATGTTAGTTGGACAAAGACAAATACAAAAAACTAAATATATAACGGTTAAAATATATTTTCACTTATTTTACTTAAAATATATGTCTTATGATTTCATTTATTTTACTTTCTGTAGTTTAAAATATTTTTTTTAGTTTTTATATTTATATTTTTTTTAATTTCTTTTTAGTTTTTATCATTAATTTTTTGTATTGTGAATTAAGGTCAATCCAAGGACAAGTTTAACAAAATTTACGCTTTAAACTTCCTCAAAAAAAATATTTTATGCATAATTTAAAAGTCACTTTTTACATTCTTAAAAATTTGCTTTAAATGTTTGTCAGTAAAAAATATATAAATATAATAATTTTTTAAGACTTATATGTTAAATATTTATATTTTTTTTATAAAAAATATTATTATTAATTTTAAAAAAGGCTTACTTTAAAATTTACTTTAAACATAATAATACGTGGGATGTATCTCGTAAAGTTTTAATACAAGACTCAAAATTTTTGAATATATTAATGCGCGGATAATATGGTAGGTAAGTTAGAATGTGAATTGTAGGTTTAATCCGATCCTACAAATGTGAATGTGAGTTATAAGTAAATAATTAGGTCTGATACTTTATTTTGATAATATCTGTTTGAGTGAGAGATAAAAGCAATGATGCGATTGGATATTTGAATTTTGGTTTTTGACTGGAAGGAGACGAGAAATGAAGTGGGGCTTGTGATGATGAAAGGGAAGAACAGATGGTGTTGAGTGTGTAGGCTGTAGGAATGATTTTTCGCAACTCATGGTGGTTGGTGATGCATTCAAACTTACCATGTGCACTGCTCCCAATCCCCTTGTTGCCTTCTACTTCCCTCTCGCAATCATTTTCCACACAAAAATCGAATATAAAACATGTCACATGTGGCATCTTTTGATTTTATCTATTCTTCATAGCCATCCTTCGAAACCCCATGGATCTTATTACGCCATCACAAATATTCAAGGATAACATCTTTGACTCTATCTTCGCTACCTTTGAATTCATACGACTCACGGTTTTGCTCCACAAGCCTTTATTTTCGCTATATAATATATAATATTATACATACAATAACTTAATATTACGAGTGAAGAGAGATGAAAGAATAAGAAACCAGATGTATTCAGCCTAATTTAACCTTATGAGATGAATTTGTACAATAAAAATTATTGTTAAGGATGATAATGGGATAGTCTCTAGTAGCATCTATCACCAATCCTTTTGATAGTGATATAATTTTTATCAATAATTATACTATTTCATATAACATTATATTATATGTGAGTTTTTCAAAATTTGTCGATTGAGTAACAATAAGAACTAAAAATTCTTTGCTAGCTATAGTAGTTTTTTTTTTTTGTTTTTTTTATATATACCATAATTGTTTTAAAATTTCAAATTTTTTTGAATATAATAATATTTTTCTTACCATAATTTTCTCTATAATAATATATTTTATTTTCAAAAGTTTTGTTAGTTGTTTATTTTATATTCAAATATTGGGAGACAAATAAGTTTCACATCAATAAAATAAGAGAAAAAACAATCATTTATAAAATACATACATATTTTAATGATTAAGAAATTTTTTAGATGATGATAAAAAAATTATAAGAACTTATGTCCAAAGCAAACAATATCTTATTATTGTAAAGTTTCCAGGATTGTATATATCTTGGTTCACAATATCATAAATCTTCGAGGATATTTTCCAGGATGTGAGAACCGAATTCTAATCTCATAGAGAGAAAGAGAAAGAAAACACTAACAAGTGAGGGTGAAAAAAAGTAGGATTATCGTAAGCGTCAATTTATTTGGATAAAACACATTATAATAATCTTTTTTTTTTTTTTTTTTCAATCAAAGCATGTATGTTCATAGAAAGCAGAGAGTTGATGTTTTGGTAATTTTTTTATTATTATAATTATAAATGATTTCTGAATTCTGAATTCAAATGATGATGATCTATAATCAAATTAAAGTTATATCAGTACGTATACGTATGGAATTCTAAGGTCTTCTTAATTGGCATGATTTAATTACCGAGAATAACGAATCTCTTTCTTATTTTCATTAACGCGATAAAAACAAGTGGAATGGAGAAGCAAGTTTTAAATAAAGTAAAGAGACGTACGTTTATATCAGGAAAGAAAAAGTGACGAAACTTTGGGAAAGTACGTATAACAGACAACATCAGTAAATAGACCAAGTAAATTGCTTCCACCTTACATTAATTAGTAAATACAAGTCCCCGCGTAACCATACATTTAAAAATTAAAATTGTTCGAATATGGTGGAAACTTTTGCAGCGAATAACGTTACTCAATAATCCCAAAGTGAAGATTAAGAACCCTACCATCTTGTGGCTTGCTTTATTCTTGATTAATTCAACTAACTGCTGGTGTCTCTAGCACAATGTGTAATTGCACTGCAACCACGAGTGTAAGGACTAGCCCTATCCCTCTTACTGCAATCGTAGTAGGAGCGTCCATGCCAACCACATGGGATATTGTTGGCTCTAAGCGCTCCATAGCTAATGTACCTATTTCTTTGCCCTTGCATCAGTATCCTACGCTGTGATTCAGAACTCATCAAAAACTCATTGTCGTCTACAATGAGATCCATGTCATCATCAGAGACAGTAGGGGAAAGTTCTTCGAGTGTAGTATATGCCTCAGCCACCATGGCCAGTGCCAGGAGAAGGAAAACAAACCACCCTTTGGAACTCATTGTGCAAGCTTGTTTGTTAAGGTGGAATGTCGAGAGAAAGAACGAAAGGGTCTTTTAATAGAGGGTGTAATTTTTTGGTGGTTGTCATGTGTGATGTAACGTATAATAGCATGCATGCGTACTTGCTAAGAATTGAAAGCCTTTTGTAAGCCTAACTGTTAGTTTCTTTTTATACAATAACAATAGAAATAATAGAACCGGAAGACTCACTCAATTTTACTGGATAAGACAATCAGTAAAAGTCTACCTAAAGGATTACTGTACAGACTCGAATCGTAAGTAATTTTACTAAATTACAGTTACTCATCTAACCTTATGCATAAAAAATCTCTTGTAGAGAGATGTCTACCAAGAAAAAAAAAAAGTAGCTTTAGAGAGATTTGAACCCCGCCCATGAGCCTAACTGTTAGTTAATAACTGGTATAGACTTTATAGATTTTAGTTACTGTAATTGATCACTTTGGTCTACAAAGGTACTGTGCTTGCTATATTTGTGTCAAAATCTGAATATCAGAGAGAGAGCATTGGTTGATTCTGGTTGGACTCACATGTGGTGGCCATGCGGCCTCTCCCAAATTTCCAGTTTTGGTTAATTTGTAGTTTCAAGTTACAAGACCATAAACGGTAGTCGGTTGGCCCAAAGGTCAACTGGACACCCAACGTGGGTTCATGGGCCTTGTCCAACTCTATCCAAGTCTTATAGAAAAGGATGTTTCTGCTTCTTCTCTACTCACCATTCACCAATATATGAGAAAGATTTAAATTAGACTCCATGTGGTTTGATATGGATTTAAATTATGTTTTGTGACATTCCAATCTAACTTAGTGATGTATATTCTTTTAAAAAGTTTATTTTTTTCTGTGTATTGAAATTTTTTCTCATAATTAATTTGAAAGGTAGTTAACAGAATAATCTATAACATAATATAAAATATTGTCTGTACTAAAATATATATATATATATATATATATATATAAATAAATAAATGAGTGCCTAATAAATTAAAATTTTTGGATTTGTAACTGGTTGCACCTAAGATCAATAATCAAGATCAATTTTATAAACCTTTTAGGATACCAAATGAGATTATATATATTTGGATGTAACAAGTAAAGTATATATAATAACCTTTTGAAGAGAATCACCTTTTAAGTATGATTAAACTACCATCTTAATAATTGATCTTATTGGTGGACCAAAATTAATATGGATTTTTTAATCTTGACTTAGGTTGAGTTTATTATTAGGAAAAACTCAAGTCCTACATCGACTAGGGATTAGGCAATTAAATAATATATAAGTGGAAAACAACCCTCACCTTACAAGCCACCAACATAATATCGTATGTCGTTCCATCACTTTAATGCCCCCACTTAGGTAACAAGCTAGCGCTACTTAGCTCTGATACCATCTTAGAATAATAGATTTAAGCCTAACTCAATCCCCGCCCATGAGCCTAACTGTTAGTTAATAACTGGTATAGACTTTATAGATTTTAGTTACTGTAATTGATCACTTTGGTCTACAAAGGTACTGTGCTTGCTATATTTGTGTCAAAATCTGAATATCAGAGAGAGAGCATTGGTTGATTCTGGTTGGACTCACATGTGGTGGCCATGCGGCCTCTCCCAAATTTCCAGTTTTGGTTAATTTGTAGTTTCAAGTTACAAGACCATAAACGGTAGTCGGTTGGCCCAAAGGTCAACTGGACACCCAACGTGGGTTCATGGGCCTTGTCCAACTCTATCCAAGTCTTATAGAAAAGGATGTTTCTGCTTCTTCTCTACTCACCATTCACCAATATATGAGAAAGATTTAAATTAGACTCCATGTGGTTTGATATGGATTTAAATTATGTTTTGTGACATTCCAATCTAACTTAGTGATGTATATTCTTTTAAAAAGTTTATTTTTTTCTGTGTATTGAAATTTTTTCTCATAATTAATTTGAAAGGTAGTTAACAGAATAATCTATAACATAATATAAAATATTGTCTGTACTAAAATATATATATATATATATATATATATATAAATAAATAAATGAGTGCCTAATAAATTAAAATTTTTGGATTTGTAACTGGTTGCACCTAAGATCAATAATCAAGATCAATTTTATAAACCTTTTAGGATACCAAATGAGATTATATATATTTGGATGTAACAAGTAAAGTATATATAATAACCTTTTGAAGAGAATCACCTTTTAAGTATGATTAAACTACCATCTTAATAATTGATCTTATTGGTGGACCAAAATTAATATGGATTTTTTAATCTTGACTTAGGTTGAGTTTATTATTAGGAAAAACTCAAGTCCTACATCGACTAGGGATTAGGCAATTAAATAATATATAAGTGGAAAACAACCCTCACCTTACAAGCCACCAACATAATATCGTATGTCGTTCCATCACTTTAATGCCCCCACTTAGGTAACAAGCTAGCGCTACTTAGCTCTGATACCATCTTAGAATAATAGATTTAAGCCTAACTCAATCCTACAAAACCAGCTTGTAAGGTGAGGGTTGCTTTCCACTTATATACTATTCAATTGACTAATCTCTAGTTGATGTGGGACTTGAGTTTTTCCCAATAAGTTTAAAATAACTCTTGTGGTCTAAAGATGATTCTTTATATTGTGTTTAGAAAAGGAAAAAGAATTAGACAAAAAAGAAAGAAAGGAAAGAATATAATAGAAGAGGAGAGAAGTAATTAAAAAATAAAATGAAAATTAAGTTGTTTAGTATAATAGCAATAGAGGGAAATTTTATTTTTTAAATTTTATTTTTTCACATAAAAGAATTATAGTAATTAAATATTATAAATGCATTTTCTATTTTACCCCTAAAGAATACCCATGACTCAATCAAATATGCCATAATTTTATAATCAAATATGTTGGCATTTGAATAACAATACAAACAAAATGTGATTAATAGGTATTCCATGCAACAATTACAATATTGTTCAAATAAAGGATAATTCGTAAATAATTAATATTAATTAGGTAACCAATGTGATTTAAGCTATTAATAGGGAGATTTATAAGAATTAATAGGTAGCAAAAGCAATATATGCAACTAAGGCAACAAGTGTTGTATATGAGGGATAAAACTCTAATATTTCTATCATGAGTGTTGTGTATGAGCATGTCGCATAAAAGGGTGTTTTGATCCTTTTTATATTTTAAGTCATAAGTTTCTTGCACTTCTTATATTAGAGGAAAAGTTTTGTCACATGAAATTCACACATATTTGAATACAATTCTCTTCATTTTCTCTTCTCAAACACGCTTAATATTCTAACTTTTCATCACTTTTCCACTATTTCATTTCCTTTTCATCAACTTCTCATTTTCCAAACAAAGTGTTACTTAGATAACATATGGTTGTTATATCATATTAATGTATGTTAAGCAATGACCTAGTGATCTCGAGAGTAAAGAATCACCTCTTAAGTATGATTAAACTATCATCACAATGATTGATCTTGATTAGCGGATCAAAATTGATTTGGATTTCTCAATCTTGACCTAAGTTAAAATTAAAATAATTCTTGTAGTTTAGAGATGATTCTTTATTAGAGATGGCAACGAGGTGGGTCCGGTATGGGTTTCATGATACTCATCCCCGTTCCAATGACTCAAACTCATTCCTATCCCCGTACTCGTCGGGTATATAATTTTCGTTCTCATCTCCGTCTCCATCGTGTATCAGATATACCCGTACTCGTACTTGTAAAAACATATTATTATTTTTTTTTGCAAAAAAATATACAATATTTTAAAATTATTTTTCTATTATATTACAATTATAATTAGGTTGTTTCTCTATCTCATATTTTAATCAAGAGACTTTTTAATAATTAAACAACTATAAATATTTCACATTATAATAAAAATAATCACACATAATAAAATATTAAAATTCTTTAACACAATTAAATTGGAGATGAATATTAAACTGGGGATGGGGACGGGGACAGAGACGGGTACAGGATGGGTAAGTATATACCTGTATCCGTACCCAATTTAATATACCAGGTTTTACCTGTACTCGTACTCGATCAAATCGGGTATTCTCGTCAAAATCGAAACGAGTTCGAATATTATCCACGGATATAGATTTATTTGTCATCCTTATTCTTTATATTATGTTTAAAAAAGGAAAAAAGAATTATATAAAAAAGAAGAAGAAAAAAAAAAAAAGAGAATAACAATTTACAACACAATTTTTTTCCTTTGTGGATGGCAAAACAAGTCTTCTCCTTATCCTATATATCATCATTAACTCGACAAAATCAGGGTGAAGTAAAGTAGCTTTATTTGGTTTTAATGAAGTATACACAATTCGTTTTGTTTTGGAACAGATTGACAATTGATGCGTAAAAAAAAAAACAGAGAAAATAGCTAGGTTGATGGATTTATGAATTGACCCTAAAAAATAAACAAAAAAAAAAGAACAAATTAAAAATAAAAATATAAACATATATGTACATTATCGATTGTCTAAAACATTTTTAATAAAATAAAAACATGATAAAAAATAATAAAACATTATAAATATAATAATTATTATATTAATTGATAAATCTTTTTCATAAAAATATATAAATTGATGATTAAGCTATCCAAACTTATCCTACACTCTTTTTTACCGATTAGACAAATGGATTGGCAAGTTAAAAATCTCAACTTGTTACACCAAAAAAAATCAGTAAACAAATAAGTGGTAGTATATAGAGACGTCATAATTTCTAACATCCAGTACATACTTTTTTCTATTTCATTTTCTTATTACATCATTTTTTTTTTGTCATTTTTAATTAAACATTCCGATTTAAATACATATTAAGTCTCTACAAAATTAGTAAATTTTGAATTTAATTTGTGTGAAAATTTTCTTTATTTTTCATCCTCAATAAAATTAAAAATAATTAATATTAATCTCTATTTTTATATGATTATTTTTAATTAATTCTTATTTATTAAAATATTAAGTGACTATTATA